CCCAAATCCACAATCTCAAAAAAGTAGATTATTACATGCAATCAATAAAACAAGGATTGTACATAGAACAATATCGGACCTCTGAAAAGTACAAGCATGCATATGTACTCAGTACTTGGTTTGGGCCCCTTTTGCAGCAATTACTGCAATTACTTTTGCACGATATTCTAATTATTCGAGTTTCACCTGTATATACACATACATACATACACACACATACACAGTAAAATAAAATCCATATACCAATAATACGATAATATTATATATTTATTTATATATACATCAGATTTGTGAATTGATGTTCAAGTATCTGTCAGTGTAAAGGTCACAATTTATTAGACAGCCCGAGATCTTTTTATAAAAACGCTGAGGAGTAAAGTCCCTGATACACTGTTGACTAGTTGCTATGGGCAACAAATGAAATAAATGTTCTCTATAACTAGACAACCAGGACATATAATTGATTCTATATTATCCACAAAGGGTTAACAGCACTCTCTCAACCCTGCAGCAGTAGATCTCAGTGCCTGTACCTGCTATCAATAGTAGTCTATGTCCGCCCTCTCTGTGCAGCAAGTAGCTTCTTCCTTCTGAGAGCCAAGCCTCGTTCTGAGGCTACTCTAGAGATCACATGACCTTCCTCCAGGAGGCAAGCCTCACTCTGAAACTTTACCCACTGATATCTTACCGGAAAGGTTTACTCAAAGTAAACCTTTCAGGGAGAAAATGCTGCACATCAGGGATACTTGAGATCCCTGAGTGCGTGTCAACCCACAAAGGAAATGCACGTTGACGCATTGGTAACGCACCTGCCTCACACTACAAAATGCAGCACTTTTACACACAAACACAGCTGTAAATAGGCCTTAAATGAATAATCTTTTATTTATTGAAATGAATGTGTGTACACGCCTCGTTTTGTGGCTTTGTTTTACATTGCACTTCAGAATGAAGGAAGCTGCTTTCTCCCTATCCCATTGTGAATGTATCACCCGGACAACGCCTGGATTTTTATTGCATATTATTAAAGGGCACCACAGTCCACTGTAGCGGACACAGGGTTAAGGCCAATGACGTCACCGATGTAAACAACGGGCTCATGGGTTGCCACGGTAACGTTGCTCGCTGCGGACGCCAGGTGGCGTCGCTCGGTCGGATGCGCTCTGGGTTCGACTGGTGCTGCCTGTTTCCCTCAGGCTGCTCGAGCGACATGTTAGGAGGGGAGCGGGCGGCGGCGGTGTGTGCGCGGCGGGACCGAGCAAGCCGAGAAGCCCGCGCCGACGGGACTAGTATGGGTTGCCAAGTGACGTACTGAGAAGACAGAAGACACAGGACAGGACCCCGAGCCGCCCGGGGTGTGGAAGTGGGGAGTCAGGAGGATAGTGACGGAGCTCAGGGCCGGGACAAGATGGCAGCGGCCGGCGCAAGCTGAGTATGCAGAGGGGCCCCGCGCACTGCCTGACATGTCCGGCACAGCCCTGCACGCTGCACCTCCTGCTGCTCTATGAAGGTAAGCCGATGTGGGGGGAACATTGACTGCCTGCCTGGAGGGGGACGAGGATGCGGGGCACTCTGACACGAAGAGAGGGGCTTGTAAACCGAGGAGACCTGAAGCTTCCATAGAGAGGAGATCGGGGGCTTCTACAGACTGGAGGGGACCAGAGAGGAAATCGGAGGCTTTCTGTAGACTGGAGGAGTACAGAGAGGAGATCGGGGGCTTCAACAGACTGGAGGGGAAGAGAGAGGAGATCGAGGGCTTCTACAGACTGGAGCGGAACAGAGAGGAGATTGGGGGCTTCTACAGACTGGAGGGGTACAGCAAGGAGATTGGGGGCTTCTACAGACTGGAGGGGTACAGCGAGGAGATTGGGGGCTTCTGTAGACTGGAGGGGTACAGAGAGGAGATTGGGGGCTTCTGTAGACTGGAGGGGTACAGAGAGGAGATTGGGGGCTTCTGTAGACTGGAGCGGAACAGAGAGGAGATCGGGGGCTTCTGTAGACTGGAGCGGAACAGAGAGGAGATCGGGGGCTTCTGTAGACTGGAGCGGAACAGAGAGGAGATCGGGGGCTTCTGTAGACTGGAGCGGAACAGAGAGGAGATTGGAGGCTTCTGCCATACTTTAGGTGTACTGATAGGAGATTGGGGGCTTCTACAGACTCGAGAGCTTCATACTCCTCGAATGCTACAGGCTGGAGGTGTGCCAAAGGGAGATTGGGGGCTTTTAGAGAATGGAGGGGAAAAAAGGGAGGAGGTCAGGGGCTTCTACAGACTGGAAGGGTTGAGAGAGGAGATTGGGAGCTGCTAAAGGAGAAAAAAGGGGAGACTTGGGACATCTATTAGCTCAACAAGGGCAGTACAAAAAATGGGGAACATGGACATGTGAAGTATAAAGAGCAGAAACAGGGATTTTGGCTAGGCAATGAGAGCAGAGAAGGGATTGAGGGGTCTGTATACTAGCGGGGGACAACCAACAGGAGTGTCAGGTTGGGGTCTGTGTTCTAAACCAGAGAATACAGAGAATAAATGGGACCTTCTACAGGTTGGATAGGCAGAGTTAAAGAGAGGTGGGCTTCTACGAGCTGGAAAGAGGGGACAGCAGAAAAATGATCACTGTCTGCATGCTGGACAGGTTTTAGTGCAAATATATCTAAGCTTCTAATATATTACACTGTGTAGAGTATGATCTGGTGGGGGGAGTACAGAGAAGAAAACTGGTTATTATATACTGGATAGAGTATAGTACGTAGAGGAAAATGGCTGTGTTACAAGCGTCAGACTAGTATGAGCCAAGAACTTGTTGGTGGGAAGTAGAGAAACCACGGGAAAGGTTGAGTCGAGTGGAATTACATTATAGAAGGTGTAGGAGGATTGGGATACATAGAGGAGAATAAAAGACAAGTAAGATGACAATTATGGGGAGCGAGTATAAGTGGGAAGACATGAGATGTAAAATTACACTGGGGTAACATGAGATAGGAGAATAGAACTGACATAGAGGAAGGCTGAAAAGTCTGATGAGATAGGGAAGGTGGAAGAGAGATGGAAAGAATAGTTTGCAAAACGTGGGGGTTATTGACATAATGCAATATTGGCATACACCTAGGTGGTGTTTGACTATAGAAGCAGCATTACATGATCAGCATGGGATATATGTGGAGTGACATATGGAAAGCTGAATGGGGATCATACTTGAGGGGCATTAGAAGTGATAAATAAGAACTAGGGTGCCACTGACTGAACCAAAGAGTGTGACTAGGAGGTAGAATACATATGGGCACAGAAGTGACGTGAAATTAGGGAATACTAAACAGAGGTGGAGCACCATGGATGTCGGTGGGGTACAAATAGGGTGATATGGAAACGATGGGCAAGATGTGTGATGGCAATGTCATGGTAGCATATAAAGCCAGATAACAAGGCTGGTATATTTGTTGTAGCATTGCATTAGGTTGAAAGAATGAAAGTGTGCTGCTTGAATCAAAGTGAGGGTATATGGAACCCTCCCATAGATTGGAAAAAGTGTTAGAACGGAAAGGGGGGACGAGTATATATTTATCAGAAGTGGTGCATGTTAAGCAGAAGTGAAAATACCTAGTGGAGGTGTAATGAGATGTTGTAGAGGGTTTAGCAGATGTGGTGTGAACAGGCAGAGAGACATTAGAAACAAAAAGGAATTAGGAAAAACAAAATGGCTCTAGAACTCCGAAGGACTGAGCAGTGGTGCATTGGCTGGCTACTATGTTGCAGGAAAAAGGAAACTGTTTATTTTGTTTGCGTGACCTGGTATACGACACGTAGAAGACTCTAATGTTTTCTTTTAAATGGGTAAACTGCTGTGTGATTGTGTGACAAAGGATTAAAGGAGAACTATGGGGTCAGGGCTTTTCCCCATAGTTCTCCTAAGGGTAACAGGAGGACACAAACTAGTGTCCCGTTACCCTAAGCTCAGTATACCACGAGCTACAGCTCGCGGTAGAGGTGGCCTGACAGTACTTAAGGTGACGCTAAAATACATTCAAGTACCTTAACTATTAACAAAAATGTATCTTGTGTGTCACTGTAGATTCTTAAGGCCAGGTTAACACTTGCGCGATCCGTGACCGTGCGGCAATCATGCACAAAACCACACGGATTGCTGTGCGGTCATGGAGTTGTTCACCACCGCCGATCGTGCTGGTGGTGCCATTCTTTTCTCATGGAACCCCAGTTGCGCCGGGCAGATCATGTGGTATTCTGCTCGTGCATTCGAACACGATTGCTATTAAATAATCAGCGATTGCCGCGCGGATGTAACCCCATTGAAATGAATAGGGCCGTGTGGCAACCGCCGTGTGCAAATACACACGATCGCTCAGGTCTGAACCAGCCCTAAGGGCTTGTTCACACCAAATGCCGACCAGATCTGCATGAGTTTCTGCACACGCAGTGCAGTGTTTTTTTGACGCGTTCCGGGCCATGTTTTTTATAAAAAAATCCCTAAATGGGCTTTTAGTGTGTTCCAGGGTGTTTGCATGCGTTTTTGATGCACTTTCATGCGTTGCAGAGCAGGAAAAATATGGCTTGCTGTAGTCTCCCTACATGCTCTGGAACTGAACGCTGCGTTGTGAACTAGAGCCCAAAATACCATTGGAATACATTGGTTGCAGTTTTGATCCGTTCTGTAACTGCTCTGCTCTGCATCTGGTACGCGCTTAGTGTGAACTAGCACTAAATCATCTCTGAATTGGTGATGACACTGTCCTTCCTTCTGGAGGGGGGCTACTTTTGTTCCCCATGGTCCCTGTGTGTGTTGTAAAGTAGCCACCTCTCCAAACTCACTCCTGTGATGGACTATAATCTCATGTTTAGTTTACATTGTATATCGAGAGATCTTTTCAAAAAGGAATACATTGGGGAAGTAAATCTAAAATGTTTCTTATTTTATTTTCTACTGTGTTCATCTACATTTTTCCCCTCCAGTCTTTATATATGTGATGTTTACAGACTCCTTGTTTATTTTCATAACCTGTTGTCAATGAGTACAAAACAATAAAGGAAAAGACAACACGGCAACAGTAGTCGGCTCACGTCAACGGAATCCTAGTACAAAACAGACTGAAACCTTTGCTAGACTACTTCCAATAGTGTTTTACCAAATGTGATAAGACGTGCCAGGCGCTATTAGCCTTTCCTTGGTATTCAGCAATAATTTCCTAAGGTGTTAAATGTTTTTTTTTCTCACTTCCTAACCTCTTGGAAATCCCAAGAACAGATTCTGCGGGCAAATTGTGTTTTTGATGGGGAAAAAAAAAAGCAAAACAAAATCATGTAAACCGTGCAATTGTCACTACACTCTGCACTCCCAATAAAGGTTTTAAAGGTGTGTAGCTTGTTTTATGATGATGTTGCTTTTTTTGTACTCATCAGAGCAGTTGTGTCAACATGTTGTGGCCTGGTGCATTCACAGAGGGTGGAGATAGAGAGGGCGTGAATTAGGTGTCAGCACAGGACTGCTGAGCCTAACACATTCCACAAACTTCTACTCTGATCAGCTACGCTAGCTGTGCAGAGCCAGTGAGAGAGGCTAGCACACTGAGACGCTGCCCCATATAGAAATGCACTCATCAAGCCCCCCCTCCCCCTTTACATCCTGTTTCTCTTCATTTTTTTTTAGATACCCTATCTCATTGTGAGTCCTCTATCTTCTTCCCATTATAGCTAAAAACAAACAAAAACTTCTATCTTCAAAAACTTTCTTGGTGTACTCTATCTTTCCGAAACACTCATTTTCCCTGGTCTCCGTCATCTACACTTCCAGCACATGCTCCGTAAATCTGCGGAATACTTTGCACGTAGACATTTTTGCACACAAGTCTGGTTTTTGAATATCTGTGTATCATACTTCACAGGATCAGAAGAGCGGATCTAACAGACGTCAAAGGTTTTTGAGCTTGTGCGTTGGTTAATTCTATTTGTTTTTGAGGCTCAGGGGTTTATGGGAGAGTTAGCATGTTGGTGGTACATTATAAGAACACTCTGTCCCTCATATTCTCCCGTTCTGTGCCGCAAGGCTTTATAACATCACCGCTCCAACTGGCAGTTTAGTGGTTGTTTTAGAAGTTGCCCAAGCTCGTTTTTTTTTAACGCCAGCATGAAATGTTTGTAAAAACATGGCATGTAAACAATTGAAAGCTTGGTTGCCAGTGACAACAGCTGTCTTCTTTTTATTTTTGCGAAATAACATTTAACTAGCGTGTTTTTTTTTTCTTTTTAAAGGGAAATGTATTTATTTTCTGGGATTATACATTTCCAGCTATCACTGTAATTTTTACTTGGAAGTAATATTTATACATGTTTACATGCTTGCTCTGCTTTAATTTTATTGCTGTGTTACTCTTTTATTACATATTCAGAATGATGGGTTCTTTTTTTTTTAGGCGTTCTCTTTATTTCATTGCAATTACTAAGCCTGCATGATCAACATGATGTAAGAGACACAGAGAGGCCATTGACTGGTAGACTTACACTGT